TGTCATGCGCTACAGCGGGGAGTGGCGCCATACCGTTGAGAGACTCGGCCGTTGGATCGACTTCGACAACGACTACAAGGTAAGATCGCGTACCATGTATCCTAGACCACTGAGATTGACTAACGCCCGTTCTCCGAAGACCATGGACCCTACCTTCATGGAGTCTGAATGGTGGGTTTTCAAGCAGCTATTCGACAAAGGCGCTGTCTATCAGGGCCATCGCGTCATGCCTTACTCAACAGCCCTGACCACAGCATTGAGCAACTTTGAGGCCAATCAAAACTATCAGGATGTCAGCGACCCTGCCATCGTCATCTCATTTCCCCTGATCGAAGACCCCGAGACTCACCTGCTGGCGTGGACGACGACGCCGTGGACCTTGCCTTCGCATCTCGGACTGGCTACGCACCCTGATCTCGAATACATCAAGATTCTTGACGAGAAGTCAGGCAAGAAATACATTCTGCTCGAGAAACTTCTTGGTACACTGTACAAGGACGTGAAGAAGGCCAAATTCAAGATCCTTGAGAAGATCAGCGGCAAGGCCATGCTCGGCTGGAAGTACGAGCCCCCCTTCAACTACTTCTATGATGAATACAAGGACGTTGCCTTCAGGGTACTGAACGCTACCTACATTACTGATGACAGTGGTACTGGCATTGTTCACCAGGCACCTGCTTTCGGTGAGGACGATTACAACGTCGCCGTTGCAGCTGGCATTGTCACCGAGAACAGGGCGCCTCCCGACCCTATTGACGACAGTGGTCACTTCACCAGCCGCGTCTCTGATTTCGCCGGCATGCACGTCAAGGAGGCCGACAAGCATATCATCAAACACCTGAAGGGTGCCGGAAAGATTGTGGTCGACTCCACGCTCAAGCACTCATACCCCATGTGCTACCGTTCTGACACTCCTCTCATTTACCGCGCAGTACCCTCGTGGTTCGTCCGCATCCCCGAGATTATCCCCCAGATGCTGGAGAACATCAAAGGCTCTCACTGGGTGCCTTCTTTTGTCAAGGAGAGGCGGTTTGCCAGCTGGATCGAGAACGCCCGTGACTGGAACGTCTCACGAAACCGTTACTGGGGTACTCCCATTCCACTTTGGGTCAGCGATGATTTGGAAGAGCGAGTGTGTATCGGCAGCGTGCAGGAGTTGCGTGAGCTGAGTGGCTACACTGGAGACCTGTCTGACCTACACCGAGACAGCATCGACCATATCACGATTCCTAGCAAAATGGGCAAGGGAACTTTGAGACGCATTGAGGAAGTGTTCGATTGTTGGTTCGAATCTGGCAGTATGCCATACGCCAGTCAGCACTACCCCTTCGAGAACGTTGAAAAATTCGAGAAGTCGTTCCCTGGTGACTTCATTGCCGAAGGCTTGGATCAGACCAGAGGGTGGTTCTATACCCTACTTGTCCTGGGCACGCATCTTTTCGGCAAGATTCCATTCCAGAACTGTGTTGTCAATGGCATAGTCTTGGCCGAGGACGGAAAGAAGATGTCGAAGCGTCTCAAGAACTACCCAGTTCCTGATTTGGTCATGGACAAATACGGTTCCGATGCTCTCCGTCTCTATCTCATCAACTCGCCAGTTGTGCGTGCTGAACCACTGAGATTCAAGGAGTCTGGTGTCAAGGAGGTTGTTCAAAAGGTCCTACTACCTCTCTGGAACAGCTACAAATTCTTCGAAGGCCAAGTGACGCTGCTCAAGAAGGTCGAGGGCATCGATTACACTTGGAGTCCAAAGGCCCTGTCGAACAACGAGAACGTGATGGATCGGTGGATCTTAGCTAGCTGCCAGAGCTTGCTGCAATTCGTCAACCAGGAGATGAGTGGTACGTTGAGATTCTTACACCTTTGTCCACGAACCTCGCTAACATGCTTTTTCTACTAGCCTATCGACTTTATACTGTTGTGCCGCGTCTGCTCGGGCTCATTGAAAACACGACGAACTGGTACATCAAGCTGAACCGAAGACGTCTCAAGGGTGAGAATGGAGTCGAGGACACCCAACATGCGCTCAACACCCTATTCGAGGTCATCTTCACGCTATGCCGCGGCCTTGCTCCTTTCACTCCCTTCATCACCGACACAATTTACCAAAAGCTCCGCCCCTTCATTCCTAAGGAGGCTGAGGCAGAAGACGCGCGCAGTGTCCACTTTTTGCCGTTCCCCGAGGTGCGCCAGGAGTTGTTCGACGAGGTTGTCGAGCGCAGAGTCGCTAGAATGCAGAGGGTCATTGATCTGGTCAGAGTGTCTCGCGAGAGAAGAGCAGTCGGCCTCAAGACTCCGTTGAAGACGCTCGTTGTCATTCATCGCGATCCTCAATATCTCCAAGATCTCGAGTCTCTCTCATCTTACATCAAGGAGGAGATGAATGTAAGAGATCTAGTTCTCACATCTGACGAGGCCAAGTACAACGTCCAGTATAGCGTTACTGCCGACTGGCCCGTGCTAGGTAAGAAGCTCAAGAAGGACATGGCCCGGGTCAAGAAGGCGCTCCCAACACTCGGCAGCGACGCTGTTAAGGAGTACTCGGAGAAGAAGGTGATTCTCGTCGATGGAATTAAGTTGGAGGAAGGTGATCTCGTTGTGAGACGAGGTTTGAAGGAAGACGAGTCCTCGAAGAATCTGGAGACGAACTCGGACAATGACGTGCTCACCATTTTGGACGCTGAGCTTCACGTGGAACTGGCCCACGAGGGTCTCGCAAGAGAGATCATCAATCGCGTACAGCGTCTCAGAAAGAAGGCCAAGCTGCAGCCGACGGATGACATCAAGATGGAATACAAGGTTATCAGCGACCCTGACAATATTGGCCTCGAAGAGGTGTTTGTCTCGCAGACCAGAGTCATTGAGAAGGCGCTCCGCAGACCGGTGGATAAGCACGAAGTCACTACGGTGGAAGGCGAGGTACCGAACGAAAAGCAGAAGGGAATCATTGCGGAAGAGGAGCAAGAAGTGCAGCATGCGACATTCTTACTCCGCCTGCTCGAGCTTTAGATGTGAGATATGCAGTGAGTACAACCTTACGGTAGCTTAGATCACTGGAACATGAGTAGTTGAAAATGATGAAGGCTTAAGAGGCCCAAAGAAAAGACTGAGTTGACCGCAACAACGTTCGAAGTTTCAGAGACTGGTCTATTGTGCTTCTACCATCATTATCTTGCTTTGCGGGCAGCAATCTTTTGTGATTGAATGATCCAGTGTTAGCGACATGGTAAACTCGGGAGAGACAGAGGTGGAAAGGGGCATGGTGGTGAGAAATACAAGATAGCAATCCTTCAGTCTGAGAAACTCCTTCAAACATTTGTCCTTGTGGACAGAGTTGTAGTCGGCAACGATGCACTTGCCGTACATGGAGGTCTACATCTTGGTCAGTACGTGTTCGAACCGAAAGGTGGGTAGCTATGGCTGGACCAGGAGCCACGACAGGAGGACTGACCTCTGTTGAACATTGGCCGACTGCGGCTGCAAACTTCTGGATGGGCCGTGTGCGAACCATGGTAGCGGCTTGAGATGAACCTCGGGTAGAAGGGGGTAGAAGCAGAGTGCGAGATATGATTGTCGCGCAATTGATGGAGTTTCGTCGTCACAACACGAGGGTACGGGTGGCTAAATCTGCCTTACCTCATCACTCAACGGGGGAACCCTGGAATACCATGTAATTGGGCTTGCGGAAAGGCTGAAGGGAGGAGAAGGTTGTGCCGGGTGATGGCGAGGATGAGGTCCGGGTGGTTGTATGTGAGATGAAATGGTGTGCGTGCGTGCAGTTTGCGAATGGGATAATCGGCAAACCTGGGACCTGACCTGACTGAATGGCAGACGATTGTTGGATCAAAGACGTCGCCGAGATCTTGCCTTTAGGGTAAGGTGAGAGGTACATAGGCAACGGGTGTATTAGGTACCTACAGTAAGCCTAAGAATCGCAGTGCCTTACCTCAGTTGCCTCCTTTGGAGCAATGCGACTGTCTTAGTGTAATTGGATGAGCCCGTATTGAATTAGAAGTATATGTAGCCAAGTCTAAGACTCGGTTATATATATGATTTCCTTTTAGCTACCTCGAGGGACCTACAAAAGGCACCTGAATTACCCTAGGTACACAAGGCAGGCCAGTCAGGTACCTACCTCAAGGTACCTTAGTGTGGCGGGGGACAGCCCGTTGCAACACAGGGCACAAGCTCCAGAGAGGCTCTAGGTATCTATACAGTATGTAGGCTTTGGTAGCACCCATTTTGAGCAGACTGGCCTATCAGCAATGCGTCGCGACACCAGGATCAACTGGATTGCAGCCCAGCCAACAGCAACGTCCCCACAGCGGCTACCTTGGTGCTCCGCCATAGGACGCGAAATAAACAGACGAGAAGAAAGAAAAGAATAGGAAGAGAAAATAAAGACGGGGTTGGGAGCAGCTATGGATTGACCACCTGCTGATACCTGCAAATATATCTGTGTGTCTGTCTGGACAAGGCCGCTGCAACTGGAGAGAAGCAGCTAACTCATCACAATATACTTGACCTGCCCATTGTGGCATCCGGCCTTGTTCCCGTCAACCTCGCTTTTGGACATCATCTATCGTAGCCCTTCGCTAGCCAATTGCGACCTCGTTAGCCTCCCACGCGCCTAACCCGCGGTGCGCGGTGGGCATGGCAGCGCCGCGACCAGCTTATCGCCATCATTCCGATTTGCGACTCTTGCGACGCGACTCAACACCCGTTACATGAGCAATCGTCGCTGCAAAACGTGAAGCTCCTTAAGCCTCTTGTCATATCAGCTGCCAGCAGTACATTTTGTCGCGGTCAAATGTATTCAGCATCCTTCCCCGACTATACACCATCACCGAATTCAAATCTGGCTCCTTAGCATTACCAAGGCAAGTTACAATCGTCCTCGGCTACCGTGACTACCATCATCATCAATACTACTACCACCAACACCGCCGCAAACTCTTCTACGGCCATTCTATTATGCTCCCAGCCTGGCGCCAGTTCACATGCCGTCGCTGCCGCATCGCCCAGTGCTGGCCCCCCGTGACGGCATATCTAGCTTTGTGTCTGTCCAAAGCTCGGATTCCTATTACAGCGATCATGGTAAGTACAGCTCAAAGTGCACTTTCACGGCATCATTACCTACACCCACCATGCTTTCGACTGCAAAGCGCACTCCGTCTGATAAATACTCCCAGAAATCGCCATCCTACACCGTGTCGTCACGGCAGCCCAGGAGAATCTCGAACTCCTTCCCGAGGGCGAGCGATTGGCAACAAACGCCTTATTCCAGGCTTATGATGCCGTGCTCCCACTCTTCGGCATCGACCCGGAGGAAGAAAACCATATCTCGCGCCTCGTATTCCGCGTTGGCGGTGAACGCGGCGAAGGGTCACTCCAGGAGAAACTTGACGCCGTTTTGTCAAGGATGGGCATCGGCCTTGAGTTCGGAAGCGAAGGGTCCAGGGCATTATCAAACAACGGCGACGACGACAACGAAGATGAAGACGGAGCCGGAGCCGGATATGTGGAGGCTGCTACGCCGCAGCCTGCGCTTACAAACACCGATCGAGACTCTATCACGTCCGGAGACGAGTCCTCTAAAGAGGTCGAGCTTGCACCCCGAGAACCATACGCGACTCTGCGATCTTCGCAGGCGCAAGCATCACATCACTTGGGCTATGCTGCATCTCCCCCAAGGCTGACGCGCGTTGGCTTGGTATCGAATCACTTGGATCTGAAGTCTATCAACCATAATAAACCGGCACCCCAAAGCTATACCCCCTCGACGGCTGGAAACACAGAACAAAGTCGTCAAAGCCGGCAATCAGGATCTGGCACCAGTGTGCAACGTGGCGCCAGCGACACCACAGTTCAGCCCATTGAGGCGCCTTATATCCACCCCGCAAATGAGAACGAGACGGCCGCTCTACCAATACGGACAAAGCCCATAAGAACGGTGAATTGGCTGCTTCCGCCTGATACCACCAGCATCAGCGCCGGCACCGGCGTCGGTGCTACTGCCCCAGAACCAGTTCGAAATGGACCGCGAGCTTCTGAGGTCATGGAAGACCATGTTGTGCATGATACTGAGACACGGGGTTCTCGTGAACATGAGCTCAGTACTCAAAAGCCTTCAGTACACGCGCCTCCTGTACATGAATCTACGGTCCAGGAGATTGCCACTCATCAAGCAACCAAAAGGAAGCAACCTGTCGAAGAACCCCCTGCAGGCGGGATCGAGGGTGATGAAGCAAAGCCAGTGATTGACGATGAAATCAACGGAGGGCCTGATGACGAAGCAAGATATGCGGTACTGGAGTGGAAATCGACCAAAGTAAAGGGGTACTTACTGCTCCTAAGAGGATTGTCACACTGGAAACAACACGCTCTTGACAAGCTCGAACGAATGGCCGTAGCAAGGAGGCATATTTTGCGGATGCGTCACTTCGACCCGTGGGAGCTGGTCACGGCCGAAACTAGGATCCGGGGTCGTCGTGTGTTCACTTCTCGTCTTATGGCCTCATGGCTCAGGCGCGCCGGTGAAGACTTGGACACAGAAGATGCAAGCTTAGCCCATGCCCAACGGAATATGGCCCAGAATGCCCTCAGACAATGGTCAACCTCCTGCCTAAGTCCAATGGAACCTCGTTTTCCGCCGCGCACTGTGTCCATTCATCTGCAACAATGGCATTCGGCTTGCTCAAGTTTACAGGGGCTTAGGTCGCACATGGAGAATCTGTACGAAGAACATGGAAGGTTTCGGGTCTTGAGGACATGGTCCCACCAAGCAGCGTCTCATCTGAGAGACGTTGCTGCATTTCGCAGATACCATATCATTCAGGGCCCTTTACACCAGTGGCATCTTGACTCAAGGGTAGAGGTCTTCAAGTCCAAGCTGGAAATCAAGCTCGTTCGCAGCTGCTTGTCGAGGTGGCAAAGCGCGTGCATGGCCCCACCGATATTCGGCCAGATCAACGCCCTCAGCCGCGGGATTGCTGTGGATTCTGTGTCCGGCATGGCCTTGCCTAGACCGCGGCGAGGCGTGACATCCCTCATGGCCATATCAGATCGTCTGCTGAAGACCAAAGTTCTTTGCAATTGGCAACGACAAGCTTCAGTAGTCGCCAAGACGAGCACGAGAACGCGTCGGTTTGCGTCGCATCGAGGGGCACATAAAGCATTGGAAATGTGGCATATCGACGTCGATGAAAAAAGAAACCTCCAGAAGTGGGTGCAGCGCGGTTGTTTCTACATTAGTGTCACGCATGCACTCAAGACATGGCGATCTAGATCAGCTTGGAGGTCAGGGACTCGAAAGTCCTATGCCCGATGCAGACAGCACGTCAAAGCTACCTTCACCAAAGGTTATCTTGATTTGTGGAAGACAGCTACTCGTGCTCACGTGAACTTGGGCTGGAAAACGGATCAGCACCACATTGTAGTGGAACATGGTCGTCTCATTCATATGCTGAAATTGTGGCGAGAAGAGAGCAGTCGCGACGGGGGGACGAGTAAGCTTTTGACTGCTGCATGGGTGGACGAATGGAATGGAATGTCCCAAGATCTCGCCGTCAAAGAGGACCGCGTCAAACAGGCTTGGTCGGTGAACCTGAAGTCACGTTGGTGGAGTCAGTGGCAATCATCTTTGCTGCAATTGAAAAGCCGAGAATACGTGGCACTAGATGTTAAGGAAAGGAACAGCAAGAAGGCTGTACGACGACTTCTGCTGCATTGGAAGGGAGAAAGGAATCTGAGCACATCTTACCAGTCAGCAACACTGAGAGCTAGTCTCGGCAGCTCAAGAAGAGGAGCTGGCTTCGTGGCCAGTCGCACCTCACTGCCACTCTCGAGAGCAGTTCACGAACGGCACAGCGGACCAAGTTTTCGCGGTTCCAGGATACAAGAAGTGGAGCCAACGGCTGACGACGATGATCACGACGGAACCGGGTCTGGACCAGATACTGATGGAGTTGTGGCGAATACGCCGACCCGGTGGACGGGTATGGCGTCTTCTGTGAGGCTTCCGTCCATGACACCTTTTGCTCCCCTTCCAACGCCATTTGAACGAGAGCTCCGAGAACGATACAACCGAAGCGTGCCTACAACTGCGACTGGCCAGATGAGCAGCCTTTCCTTCGCACAGGCGCAAAGGCTCTCTGTGGCCGGGACACGGCGAGCAGCCAGGGAGAATACAGCGGATATTGGCAGAGGTGGTTGATGAGACATGGGCGGAGACCCTTGATGAGAACAGGCGAAATGCTATGGTCATGTGGATATCATTCATGTGTTTGGAAACCTTTACCCAGTATACCCAGACGAGGCAGTTTTGTATCACAAACGAAGACTTTCGGCATGGGCTAGAAATCAGTGGTTGTTTTCCTAGTACCTTTGTGGGACAAATGCGCAACATCAGCCCAAGGTAAGATGCGATATTCAGTCAGGCAGGCCGCAGGCTCACCTCAAGGCACCTTGCTACCTACCTACATGATAATACCTCAAGGAGTACGGGTACAGATGCAAAGGGACCAACTGGATGACAAAACAAGATGCCGGTCAATGCTAAAGTGGCCTCCTTCTATAACACGTGCCCATGAATGCATAACCGCGCCCTTACAAACGTATCTTCTAAAGGGATGTTTAAAATAAACCAAAATAACAAGCGGTGGTAGTAGTATAAAAAAAGATGGAGAGAGCTGAGGTACCGTACTGAGCGGCAAACCATCATGTCCGGGTCTTTGTCACCAAGTTGGGGACATAAGGTACCGACCGACCCCACACCCCTGGGTTGACCATCCACTGCAGTGCGCAATGCGCATATCTACGGTATTAGTACGGATACGTTACCCTCGTGTGGCTTGGGAACCTTGCCATGACATGGTCCAAGTTTAAGCTCCTCACAACACTTGCATTGACCGAACTCGGTCTATGACAGAGCTCAATTATCACCCCAAACCAGACGAGGAGCCTCTGGAAAGACCTACCACGTCTCAGACTTTGACTGAAGCCCAACCCGCAATACTCGACAACTATCGACCAAGCAGACCCGGCATCACGTCCGCCTAAGCAATGCTGCTGTGGCTTTCTTGCTAGTAGGATGAGAGCAGTCCTCCCAGGTAGGCCAAGGTCTGGGCTTCAAGCTCTCGCGACGGGCTTTTGGGACTCGAGGCACTTCAATGTGAGCCACTCGATCATGCTTTGATGACCTTCTATCATTATCGCTACCATAGTGCTAACTTCTGGTCGCCCCCAGGTCTACATAACCGGCAGCGCGTTTACGATCCTTGGCGATGCCGACACAATCATTCAGACAATATACGACGACGATCCAAGCCATCTGCAGGCCGCAGCCTTCGATGAATCCTCGGGCAAGATTGCGACTTGCACCGAATCCGTCATTAGAGTCTATAGACCTTTTGGCCAGTCCGAAAATGCGCTAAAGGTGAGTTCGTCCTCCTTACCCAAACGACGTAGTCTTCGCCCTCGGGTTCCATCTCCCATTCCGTCACCCCTTCCGCACCTGTCGCCTGTACTGCCTTGCGAGCAAACGCTGACGACACTCCTGCGTATCAGTGGGGTCTACAATCATCGTGCCCAATTCATGACTACCAACATGCCACCAAGGGGATCTCTCTAAGCTGGGGCGGCAACGAGGAACTCCTGGTTGCCCATTCCGCCTTATACTTGTACTCAACCGCCGACGAGCCGGAACTGTTATGGACTAAACACCTTCCGAATTCTGTGAAACTAGCAGAGATATCATACGATTCGGCATACATAGCATGCGTAGGCGCGCATGATTGTCTCGTCAAAGTCTGGCGCCGCTTGACATATGGTGCTGAAGATGTGCGCTTCGACCTGACCTACCTACGCCACCCAGACCTAGTCACGAGCCTACGTTGGCGAAAACCGCTACATACCGATCAAACTGTAGAGAACGTTCTCTTTACAACATGCGCCGATAATGTTGTCCGAGTATGGACTGGCACTGATACGCATGCCCTTCGACACATGAACCTTTGGGGGTCCGTCGACTTGGCTTCGTCCTTTCGAGACCTTGGACTTGGTTCCGCATACCCTACAGCGCCGCTGGTCACTTTCGTTATCGATGGAAGAGAGGTGTCTGCTGCTACAGAGCTGGCCGTTCAGCGGTGTTCCGTGAAGGATATACCGCGCGATGCTGCTCTCGAACGCCTTATTTCTCTGGCCAATAACAGCGCTGAGCTATGTGTTGCCTCTGACGCTATTGGAAATATGATGGTATTTGCTTTTGAGGAGGTGGGCTCCAAGGCGAGAAAGTCCCACGATGCCATCAGAGTGACAGGCTTCAAGTCACACACTCTTGATTTCAGGTCTGACCAGTACGTCAGCATACAAAGCTATTGCGACCGAGCCACTGGGCGACTACATGTGCTTATTCATGACTTTGACGGCCAGATCCAAGTATACGACGCCGACTTAGCAGAGTTTCTAAGCGGAAGGAACAAGTCGAGCCGTCTTGCTCGGCGCTGTATCTGGGCCGGCCATTCATCGCCTATCCAAAAAATGGTTCGCAATTTCAGCGGTCGCGCTGTTGTTTCTAGAACCGAGGAAGGCGAAAGCATTGTCTGGACGCATTCCGAAACCAGTCAGACCAGCTTGTCGCGCCAGAGTGTCATCCAGGGAAACGCTCATATTCATCGGATATGTGTTTTGCGCAAAGGCCGTTTTGTCATATTCCTAGAGCACGGGAAAATATCGCTATGGGACTGCCGGCATCAGAAAGCCATATTGCTCGCGAGTCAGTCGTACGACATCTCAGGAAAGCCCTTGTGCTTATTGATTCTGCCTCGACATCGAGTTGAGGAGTATGCCGTTGCTCACATTGCAACTGTCACATCCGAAGAGGAAGGGCTTGTTTGGGAAGTTAATTTACCTCGATACTCCAGTCAGGGTGCCAATGCATATGCCAATGGCCAAGAGGAGACTTCGATCAGCGAGTTTTGCAGATTCAAACTGAAAGACGCCGAGGGGATCGCCTATATGCTCCCTGTCGACCCAGCAGGATCTACGCCCGCCACATCTGGCTTTCTCGATGTATTTGCCAGAGACATTGCAGTATCGTACACTCACGCAGGACGGGTAGACTTTTGGACAGCGAGAGTCGGCAATACGGGGAAAAGCGTCGGATGGCTCTCAACCTCCTCAGCAGAGACGGGCCTTGTTGAACCGGCTCTCGTCAGTGGCAGTACTCTGAAGAAGGCTGCAATCGTGGATTCCGCAAGATCTCAGCTGTTTATTTGGGACATCGGTGGTGCTCGACTTGAGTTTACACGGGACTATGGAAGACACAATACGATACAAGACCTCGACTGGACTTCGACGCCTGATTCACAATCTATCCTCGCCGTTGGCTTCCAGGCGAAAGTAGTTCTGCTCAGCCAGATGCGGTTTGACTACTTGAATAAGGGACCGGCCTGGGCCGCAGTCCGGGAGATCAGCATTCGCGAATTCACTCCTCACCCAATAGGAGATTCAACCTGGCTAGGCGATGGACATCTCGTCATCGGGTCAGGTAATCAGATGTTCGTTCACGGGAGGGAGTACGACCTCTCCGGCTCCTTGATCAACAGCCTGCAACTACCGCACAGGAAGAACGGCGTCTGGGACCTTTTTGACGCTGTTCAGAGGTTTAATGGCCCTCTGCCGGTTTTCCACCCTCAGTTCCTGAGCCAATGTATCCTTGCAGGGAAGAGCACTATAGTCCGAACGATTCTGATGTCACTGCACAAGACTCTCAAGTTCCTCATTGCAGGTGAGACTATCGATGACTACCTGGGACTCGAACCAGCGGTTTTTTACTCACCCGGGGTAAGGCATTTGGTTATTACGTTAACCGTCACTTGAACCAAAGGTGGAGCAGAGGCTAACTCGGTCACCAGGCCTCACCGACGCAAGCATCAGAGCCCCAAGTAGGGTCTCACTTCAGCCTACAAGTATCTGCTGACGAAACAGACGACTCAGAAGAGCCTTTCAGCGAAGACACCGCACTTGCCATCAATGGTCGTCTTACCGAAGTTGGCCTCCAACAGCTATCGGGTCATGAGCAAATACAGCTGGCTGATATCGTTGAATGCGTGGGGATCGTCGAGAAACAGCGCAGATCCCTAGACGAGAATGGTGCGCGTTTTATGCTCTTTTTCCGCCAACATGGGCTTCGCAAGGGCCGGACAAGTGAGATTCAGATGTCCTGGCGAGAGATCAACTGGGCCTACCACTCGACCAGCCAGGATATCCTCACTGATTTCGTCTCCAAACAATGCCACGGTGCACTACGCTGGGCGGATGCGCGGGAGAGCGGCATGTTTATGTGGCTCACCGATCGGAACGCCTTGGTACGCAGGCCCTTTTTGCACCGCCGAGCAGTCCAGGTCAGCTAACGATAAACGTAGCTTGCTCAATTTGAGGTTGTTGCAAGGAACGAATACACCAAGAGCGAGATGAAAAATCCAGTCGACTGTAGCATCTATTACCTGGCTCTCAAGAAAAAGACAGTCCTCCAGGGACTGTGGCGAATGGCTCACTGGAATAGAGAGCAGGGGGCAACGCAGAAGTTGCTGTCTAACAACTTTGAAGACCCGAAATGGAGGACAACGGCGCTGAAAAATGCTTACGCGCTGCTAAGCAAGCGACGCTTTGGTGAGTCGTGAAGTGTAACGAGAAATTTCGAGGGCTGACATACGGGCACACAGAGTATGCCGCAGCATTTTTCTTACTTGCAGACCACCTGCAAGATGCTGTCAATGTCTGTTTGAATCAACTTAAGGACCTTCAGCTCGCAGTAGCTATCGCGCGTGTCTACGAGGGAGACCGAGGTCTAGTGTTGAAAAGGCTCCTAGAAGAAGAGGTACTAGCTGTGGCTGCCAAGGAGGGCAACCGCTGGCTCGCATCCTGGGCCTTCTGGATGCTGAATCGTAAGGATATGGCGGTCCGGGCCCTGATTGTAAGTTCTGCTGCTTGGCTCTCAGATGATACGCCTTTTTTTTTTTTTGCCAGTACCTAACGTATCCTTGGTGTTATAGTCACCGGTTTACACCCTGGTCGAGACGCCGTGCTCTCCAAACATGCAGTCGAAATTGTTCCTCACGGACGATCCGGCGTTGGTCGTACTGTACTCACAGCTGCGGCAGAAAACACTCCAGACCCTTCGCGGAGCCTCAAAGGTTACACCGCGCGTCGAAT